CATGCATATAATTCTTTCTCATTTTTTCAAGTTTGGTTTTACCAGTCAGTTGAATATTAATAGTAACACTTTATTTGGATGGTCCACTGTAGATGCTTTGTAAATGCTCAGTCTGTGTGTAAGTAACATTCAACTAAATATCCATTAAATGCAACTAAACTTAAAATTCAGTGTGAAAGAGTTTATTAAATCTATCCCTGACCCTGACACTAACCTTACCCTCAAGGCAAAACCTTTATCTACCCCTTACCCTAACCATAATGTTGTTGATAATCAAGTGAACATCACCAGAAAATTAGTTAATGTTCTAAGTATCTGTAGAGCATCTATAGGGGACCATTCAAATAAAGTGTGACCATATTAACCTCTACAAGCTAAAGATTCCTTTTGTGCTGTTTTAAGGTGGACTGGAAGAAGCTGGTGAATAAGAAGCCAACTTCAGTTGTTTGTGTAAAGCTAAATATTAATGCACTCCTGCGCAAGAAATTCTTTCTACTGTTTAATTAAACCATGTTGAACAATCTTGTGTAAAAATGAGGAGAGCTCCTCTCCATCTAACATTAATCTGACTAACATTAGCTGTAGTGTTAGCTTTAGCATTAGCTCATCTGATGACGTGGCTTGAGTTACTAAAACCTGCAGCTTTTAATGTCGAGTGACTACACCGTAAAAATCCAGCTTGCAAAATGTTATGCAAATTTAAAAAACACAGTTGGCCCAACTTTCGCATAATGATTTAATTAAACTGATTTAACAACCTGTACTGAGTTCATGACTGTCTCACAGCAGACGCGCTGCATTAAATGACAGTTTCAAGTTTATGTAATGTTTTTATATGAGTTCAAGCATCTGAGCAGGTCGCTGTTCAGCAAACTGACTCGGTAGAGTCCAACAGATTCTCTATAAACAAGGAGCTACATAACGGAGTATATCAAACCCAGTGTACAAAACTACACAGAAACTTTTTTTTGCTGCAAAAGTTTACAAAAACAGCCATTAGCATATTTTTTTTTGTTTTGTACATTCTTTGTAGCTGAACTAAGTATATTTGCTAATAGAAGGCTGGCCGTTAGCTCAATAACAATAGCTAACATGCTAATGGGCCAATAAAACGGCTAAAATGAAGAGCCGAACTCGGCTGCTGTTAGGTGGTCTCGGCTAAGAGTTTTGGCACACCGTAGTTGGGATGGGTACGAGTGACACTCGGCAACTACTGTTTTGGCAAAAAAAAATAAAAATAAATAAAAAAAATAAGGGCAGATTCTACCTGTACTGAGGCAGATTCTACCTGTACAGAGGCAGATTCTACCTGTACTGAGGCAGACGTTTGTTTGACGTAACAACACCTTTACAGTCAGACATTTACTCACACCTAATACTAATTTGTTAGTGTTTAACTCTTCATATGTTAAAATGCAAGAGACGCCGAGTGTTCTGGTGTTGAAGTGACAGAAAAGGAGAAACTAACCAGATTCTGCTCTGTAAATAAGCCAACTCGCTAAATGTTATAGCTACCCTTGTCCCAACTTTCTCATGATGGTTTAACTGACTCAGCATCCAGTAACTTACTGAGTCTCTGAGCAGACACGCTGCATCACCTGACAATTTCAAGTCAGGATGTAACGTTCTAATATGAGTTCTAGTATCTGGGCGGGTCGCTGTTCAGCAAACTGACCCAGTAGCGTCCAACAGATTCTCTATAAACACGGAGCTACATAACGGAGTATATCAAACCCCACTGTACAAAACTACACATAGAAGTTTTTTTTTTTTTTGCTGCAAAAGTTTACAGAGACAGCCATTAGCAGACTCTGTTTGTTTTATATTGTACATTCTCTGTAGCTGGTCTAAGTTTATTTTCCTGTAGTAGGCTGGCTGCTAGATAAAGCTAGCTAACATGCTAACGGGCTAACCATGCTAACATGAAGAGTCGGTTAAAAGGTTTGGCACACCAGAGTCGGGACGGGTACGGGTGAGGCTCGGCAACTGATGTTTCAGTTTAATAATAAGTTCATATTGCAGATTCCCCCCGTGCCGAAGAAGATTCTACCCGTATTGAGGCAGATTACACCCAATCTGAGGCAGATTCCCACCCGTTCTGAGGAAGACTCTTCCCGTGTTGAGGTCCGAACCGTCACCAACGTTTCATCGCAGAGGCGGGAAGCGCGCGCTTAGAGCAGCTTCTGGAAACCTCGGAAGGCGTCAAAACGAGCCTGATAAGTAACGTTAAATGCTTGGTTTATTTGACGTAACAACAGTTTTTGAGTCAGACATTTAGCTACTCGAACCTAATACTATAATTTGTAAGTGTTGAACTCTTCATATACTAAAATGAAAATGAGCATCACTTGCTAACAGCCAGTTAGCTCGCCATTATCTGCTGTGGTAGCTAAACTAGCGAGTGACCTCTTTTAGATAAATGTTTGCACTCAGAAAATAATGAGAGAACAGTTAAAGAAAAAATATCATTTTAAATTTGTAACGGTGTCAAATTTATATTCCATTTTTAATAAACTGTTATGTACGTTTGTTAGAGCTGTTAGCTAAGTTAACTAGCTAACTAACCTGTTTGTGTGCTAGCTTAGTTAGCTAACGTTAGCAGGCTAAGTTAATAGCTCTGGTCAGTTCTGGTGAACTCATTCTAGCTAACGAATGCACGAAGAGTGAAGGCTCAAATCTGAGCAAGAGATGTCGAGTGACAGAAAAGGAGAAACTAACCAGGCTCTGTGATGTGTGGGGTTGTTAGCTTGCTGGCTTCACTCACCTGAGTATAAAGAATAATAATAATAATAATAATAATAATAATAATAATAATAATAATACATTATACTTATATCGCGCTTTTCAAGAACTCAAAGACGCTTACAGGTTTTCGAAATACAGAACAGCAAAGACAAACATGAGAACACGAAGCACAGTCATAACATCGCAAGCAAAAACATAGCAGGACTGGGCAAAGGGCTGGTTTAGGATTGAGAACAGTTATAAGCAATAGAAAAGAGATAGGTTTAGCAAACAGCGGACGTCCCCGGGACGTTCGCAGACGTCCTCATTTGGGAATTTTTATAACGTTCGCTGTAGAACGTTCCTAGGCCATTATGGACGTTCGCAACAGGTCCTATTGCAGTCCTGCAGAAACGTTCCCAAAAATACATTTACAGGACGTTTGGTAACGTCCCAGTATAGTCCCTCAATTAAAGTTATTTTTGTTACCTTTAGAGAACGTTTAAGAACGTCCGGATGTGGTCCCCTGACGGTCATTTATCACGCGTGCGACAGTCAGCTGATTTCAGACATTACGTCAGTAGTTTTCACCTTAAGGTGCAAATATGAAGCAGCGCATTTAACAGCTTAGATCTGATTAGAAATTTAAATCAAGTATGCCATAGCGGGAATGGAGAATTGCATTGTGTTCATAGGAATGACATGTAAACTGTAGCCTACGACCCCATACAAATCTGCACATCTTCAAAAGCCGAATATTCCGCTAGCAGGACAAATCAGAGCAGACTACAGACACTGCGCACTGGGGTGTCAAATCAAAACCAATGTCCATACACTGAAACTTACCATACATGGCTTTTTTAACGCGATTCAATGCGATGGTCTGGTTGGATGAAAAGTGTCCACTATTCTTTGCAGTGAACAAAAAAGTGCATTGTATTGCAGTTACCAGTGAGAGGGTCTTCTTTTCGCTCTTCTGAAAATCTTTATCTTGCACCTGTGTGTGTGTGTGAGTGATTAAGCCCTTCTGGCAACT